CCAATTGATGCCAAACAGGGAAAAAAACAAATGAATTATGCAGCTATTCTAATCCGTGTATCCGTAACTCTATAAAGAATAAGAAAGAGAGAAAAGAGGTTGAAGCTATGAAGGTTTAAGGTTGGATCTGAAATTAAAATACCTAATCCGCCAAAAATATATATATATTGCTGACATTATCGGAAATCCACTTAGAGTACACGATGAGAAGGTGTTCATTTTTGCCCCGTGTACTTTTTGCCAATTATTGGGGAATCTTTTCAAACTACGACGACAACTCTTAGTACAGTCGTAATAATTTTCAGTTATCTTTTATGTGGCTCCGATCAAGTTAGTCGCTTTGAAGAATAACACTCAAGTCACTTACTGTTATAAGAGGCTTTGTAAGATCTTTCATCTGCTCTAATCAAAGCTATCGTCGTTGAAATGAAAGGACTGAGGCATTTCTTATAAAATCAGGCTGTCGAGGCGGAAGGAGATGTGATACCTGATAATACTGGCATAAAAGCCGTTGATTCGGTGGCTTACGTAATAATTTAATAGAACCAAAAATCTAAACTTAATATAACCCAGTATGCAAGAGACCAACGTTTCCCAATGTCGAAGAAATCGTTGAAATATCAATTGGGTATACAACATTTTTCTCCGCTTGAAATTCAAACTTTTTTTTTGAAAAACAAGTTCAGGTAAGTTTGAAAATGTACCATGTGTCAGCACTTTATTGGATTAACGGTCTTATGTCCATCAAACAATTACAAACCTTAAATCTTGAGATAAAACCAAGGCTTTAAAATTCAAATTGAAAAGCGAGTGAAAAACTTGAAAAGAATTCTAGTTAGATCTCCAATTGACCTCAAACTGAATTCCCACAAAAATATTTAATGGGAAATTTCAAATAACTTTAACTTATCTATCAACTGCCTCATGTGGCATTTAACCTTTAACAACCTCAAAGTTAAATTGGCCTCTAATTCTTAAAACAAAAAATTAGTTTTTGAAAGTTTAAATTTTGTACTCTCGACTAAGTCAGCCAGCTTGATTTTGTAAATGTCACAGATTTACTATTTATCTTCCCAAAGCCTCTTAATCAATCAAAATCCGCACGAAATTCCAAAATAAGTGAAATTTAAATATTTCCTACACCAATTCGATGATTTTTCAACGATCCATGTGCAGTGAATAAATTGGTCCATTAGATGATACCGTTGCCTTGCCTTGCACCAATCCACAAAGCAAATGTACACTCACACCGTTACCCTATTTTTATTTTTTCTCTTCTTAACTCGTAGTTCGTGCCTCATTAAAAGCAAGCTGTTGCAAACAAATTCGGCAATCAAGTCACGTACGTTAAACGCGCCCAGTACAAGTTCGAGCTCATGACAAGGCTGCTGCTGCTGGTAATCTATTGGCTGTACAAAGACATATCTTTGGGAACACCTTGTGGCTTTTGGCGGCTTAACACATGAAGAGAGTCAGGTTTTAAAGTGCTTAGGCAAAGAATTATGAGATGGTTTTGTGAAAAAAAATTAGTGGGCGCATTTTTATGTGTGTCTCAATTTTCCTTAATGGTTATATTCAGTCTTACTGAACAGTAACTATTAAAAAAAATTGCCTGCATGTCCATATACGTTTGTGTTGACTCTAAAATTTGCTTCTACAACGTCCAGCTCATTAGCAGATACAATGTATGTATTGACAGATCCTAGTCTTTATACCCTACATACTCGGAGGAGTTGGCATTCTCTGCGGGAGGGCGAATTATTCAATTAATTATTTTAGTGAAAATAATTTTCTATAATTTTGAATGCTGGCCAGGCCGGGACCCGAATTCATTATATAATATGTAACTGAAGCATTGAAACTGCTGAAGTGATTTTAGGCCGAGCCCAACCCAATTTGTGGTTATGCGTTTTGATGTTTCAAAACAAATGGAGGGACTTGCAGTTCATTCCAAATCGGCTATATGTGGTTTGGGTCGCTGGTCAAAAGGACATCCCTGGTAACTCTGTAGTCGACGGACTGGTCAGAAAGAGAACTGTCACAATAACAGCAAACTCTGCAATTGTCACGGATATAGTGCTCTTTTTAACAAAGTATTTTCTAAGTTGTGGGCCCATGAAGAAAGGAATCTCCTTAACAGGATCGAGCAACCTGCATAAGTTGGATTTTGTAAGTCCGCAAAGCAAGATCCTTCTGCAAAATCTTCCATAAAGTGAATGGGCACAGCTCCGATTGTTGCGCGCGATGGCGGATAGACTCCTACGGATCTTCTTCCTTATTCTTCTCCATAGCGGCAATAGTGTCTTCAGTGGGCACTGTGCGGCATCTCTGAGCATGCGCATAATCTACTAGAGTTAAGGGAACTGAAGTGTGGGGCTCAACATAAAGTTTTACTTGACAAGAGATTTCAAAACTATGCCAATGCGTGCTCTGACAGCTAAATAAATGTTTCCTTCTTCGCATAGCCATTAGGACAAGTGTGTATTGCAAATCTACGTCAGCAGCTGATTTTATTAAAGTGTTATTGGTAATGACTTTCTCTCATTCGCTCATTACATTAAGTCTCTGAAGGCTGTGCACTGACATACCAGTTCTCGGGTTATTTAAAATATTTATGATCGAAAACTTTTTTCCTCTTTCCACCGACGGGTAGTTGCAGATTTTTTTTTTTTTTTTTTGTCACTTCCCTCCTTCTATATTTATTGACCTTGACCTACCACTTCTAAAAGTTTTCTTCTTTTATTGTGAATTGAACCCTTCATCAGTTGTGGGTTTTTTAATTGACATGACAACTTAAAGTCCTGTCAAGTCACTCGTTCTCTCTCTCTCTCTGTGTAGCAATCATACGCAGGTTTAGTAGTTTGTCAATCATCATGACTGCATAATACGGTCGAGACATATTGTGGTCTCACGAGTTTTTCTCACAACTAACCCTTTCGCATCAGTCATTCTTCTCTTTGCCGCACTGCCACTTCTCTCTGTGTCACAGCTCCTCATTGCTGCCTTTAGCCTGTTTCTGGAGTATGTATGCTTACAGTTCAGTGTGCGAGTGAGTTTGTAAAATGAATCATTAGCTGCAGACAAATTAAAAGTCAGTGAGACGGATATATGAGTCAGCACGAAGCGCCAATCATTTGTGCGGTAAATGCATGTTGGTAGGTAAGTTTTCGCATACGAGTATGTGATATGTGATTGTTATTGCATTTTCGTGGCTGTCAGCCTATTGGACAGCTAATCTGAATGACGAATAGCCAGAATAAAAAAACAGATTTTCATTTTAATTTAAAATGTTCGCGGGAACTTTAGTTTTTAGTCGCCTTTTACGATTGGCATGCCTTACCGCAGATAAATTCTTTAACCTCTAACCCGTAAGTGAAGCGTGCTAAGATGACGCTAGATGATTCAAGAAAAATAGTATTTTGCAATGAGCGTGTATGACAAATATGGCACGAGCGAGGAGAAAATACGCTTTGTTCTGCAATACATGTCAGGCAGCTGTATATAATATATGGTCCTGATCATGTAACCTGCTCGACTTTGGTTTCGTTAATTCCGTTCGGGTAATTTTGATGTAAAAATGCTCCGCGGTATTGAAGACCGATTGCGGAAAATGCGATAAAATAATAGAAATCGTCGAATATGACCGTCATGCGGGTACTCTTTCAAATGTCCAGGGGCCAAACATTACACAAAAGATAGTCAGGAGCCGCCTAAAAAAGGCTGGATACACAAAGAAGCTCGATCTATAGGTGCTATATCAGTTAACGAGAACCGATAATCGTCTGGTAGTGAAAAAAGGTTTACTTACAGCAACGCCCAATGAAAAAAAACTTGGGCAAAAGGCAGTGAGCTGACCAAAATGGTCTTCAAGCCAAGATTGACAGCCAGGAACATTTTCATTTTGTTATTTGGAATCATATACTAAGAGCTGTTCCCAGGTGGCCAAACACTTATTTTGGAACTGTATTGGCACCAGTTGGACCGTCTGAAGGAACAAAAGAATGAATCGCACCAAAAGCACCCGACCACACACATCAGTAGTGACATACCAGAGAGTTCGAGAGCGTGATTAGTTCCAGAAGGCCTCGGCAACATTACTTCCTTCCCACCAACCAACCAACCATGCTCGGTTTAAGCTCAAATATTTTTTCCAAGCTCCTTAGATGTGTTCTAAATATGAAATAAATTGGGGAAAAAACCCATTTGAGTATCATGACCGTAGCGGTGCCTATCAAAGAAATTCTTAGTCGTAAAATTTAAATGTAAAAATTCTGAGCTCTAGAAAAATAGACAATAAACCCACCCAAGAAATTTGCCTATGAAAGTAAAGGGTTATCCATTTCCAGGTCCAAAAGTACCTTACTGAATTTTTTCTTCAAAATATTGAAATCAAAAGTTTGTCAAATTTTAATAAGACTGGGTCGGTTACAGATATTAAAGGCTTTTGCATCTTGGGCTCCGAGAATTCTCAAATAATTGAGTGTGATTGGACTTTACATCTTTGGAAATGGCAACAGTAAGATTATCACTTTATTTAGCCTACAATTGAAACACACGCCTTGGACGATATGTGGTTTCAATAGACGGTGCCACATGCCTCAAAACACGACTGAATTTGGCTTTATTGCGAGAGAAATTTCCTTCCTGCGTAAAGTCTCGTCTTCGACACCGTTGGAAGTAAAACCTTTAACTCTGGCGCAATTTGAAAACGAACCGTCGTCAAGTTATGTCTGAGATACGCCAATATGTGCCAAAAAGTAGTCGAAATTTACCACGCACGCATTGAAGTTTGCGAAAATTCGAGAGGTAGTCACTTGAGTGATATAGAGTTTCAGAGATAAAGCCAGGGTGCAAACTTTATACAAAAATTCTATGAAAAGAGTAATATTAAAATGCATTTTATTTACATTTATTATCGAAATCGCAAAATATATAACCCAGTCTAGTGTGTTATGCCATTCAACTAGATTTATAACTTTTCCATTTTTTTCTTATTGCAGAATGAATTGAAGCATCAAAGCCTGTCACCTTGAGAAGGACAACAATAAATAGCAGTCAAGAGAAAATTCAAGAATTCCTAACAGCAGCCAGAGAGTCTAGCGTTATGCTGGCTGTATATAAGAAAATCTGGTAAAGGAAATCAAAGCACAAGGCACAACTGTAAAAGAAGTAGAATAAATTTGCAAATAACTTTTCATAATAGAAATCTGACGCGAAACCAAAAGTAAAATATTAATAGGCAAATAAAAAATAAGAACCGAAGGGAAGGGAAGGAAATTTCAAATATAAAATAACCAACAACAATCAAAAGGAAAAGCAATAATAATTTTAAAGAAACACAACTATTTAAGGTAACTAGCCAAAAGCAGCAACAACTTCGATATAGAAACCGAAGAAAGAAATACAAGAGCAACAGCAAGATTTGAAAAGAAACAAATATTTTAATTAAAAATGAAGAAAAAATAAATCATCGATCGATTTTCATATTTAAATAATTTAAATAGCACCGAACTGCAGCAGATTATATAAATAACGAAAGTAAAGCGCAGCCGGAAGTGATAAGAAAGTGATTTGATTTCGATTGTTATTTATTTAAAGAATTTTTATGGATGCTACTCCATCTCGCAATTGGCCCCACGCAAATCACTCAACTTACGCAAAATGCTTGCATACATGCATATGTAGTTGGCTTGGCAGTGTATTCAGTGTCCAGTAATTTGTGAAACGCCCTCCACTGTTGGCCGCTAAAGCGCCTTTCGTCTAAGCAACCATATGCCGACTATAATGTGGAGTACAATATCGCCGACAAATTCTAAGAAATTACTTATTGGCAGAACTCGAAGCGTCGACTATGTCGGAAACAATAACAACAATCAGCAGCAGCAACAGCATCAGCAACTACAACAGCAACGACAACATCATCTTCAATTTCATCGACAGCAAAAACCACAACCGCAAATATTTAATAATAACAACGCATCGAAGACAGCAACAGGAGCAGCAGCAACAACAATTGAGAGTGAAACTGAAATCGATAGAATACCAGCAGCAACAGCAGCATCAGCAGCAGCAACAACAGCAATCATTCCCTATCGAACAGCAACATCAATCACAACACCAACAGCAAAAGCATCAACAGCAGCAACAACAAAAAACACAACAACAGCAGCGACCCATAATAACAACAGCATCGCCAACACCACTAACACCACTACCATCAACGCCACTAACAACAATAAAACGCAATCGACGAAAATCTCAATCGCAATGGAAATTCACATACAAAATAAGTGCATCTCAGCATAGCGCATCACTCTGGAGGGTGGTGCGGAGCCCCCATGGCTGCAGGGCCCCCTTAAAGCGGCATTTTTGGGGGCCTCTGGCGTCGGTAAAACCAGCATATTACAGGTGAGTAGAGTGTGTGATGTGTGATGGCACGTGTTGACAAATTTAAATGTTACTCATACGCCCTGGTTGTTGTCTAATTCAGCTTCAGTGAGTTTTTGACGAACAATTTTAGAATCACAAGTCATTGATTTTTTTATTTTTTAATTGAAAGATGACTGTAGCTAACGTCAGCAGCTGGTGACAAGGTTGAAATCAAACCCGATAGTTTCCACTCAAACCGCAATGTTGCGGCAAAGTTTCTTTAGCTTCACCTACCAAACATTCTTTAAAGAATTCTATTATATACCAAAATGTTTCATTTTCAAAAGGAACGTGTGTATCTTTAAAAGCTATCACTCTCTTCTGTTCCACAAAAAAAATATATATATATGAGAAAATCAACATTTCTCAGTGATGGTGCTCTGCTGGAATGTTATTGAGCTTCGGTAACATATTTATATAGTGACCTATATATAATAAATATAAACTTATACGCTTACTGAGCATAATATGTTTATAATGCTGCTTTAATTCCCATTACGATTCGCTCCCTTAAATGGTATTTTCTTGATATAAAAATGATTTACACCGCATATTTTTTCACATAAACATAAATACACATTTGATTCGCAGGAGTAGTATACAATTTTACAGCTGAATAAAAACGTTTATAAAATTTATTATATACACAAATATAGAGTTTTAACCTTTAATATAAGCTGCAAAAAAATCATTATTTTAAATATATATACAGGACTTATTTTTTAATCCAATTTTTCAATTTTATTTATTTTCATTTTATTCTATTCTACTTTTTTTAAGCATAGATCGAAGCAAATGGTAATCTGATGGTGCAAAGTCGGCGCTATATGATGAATGCATCAATTGTTCCCAGCCAAGCTCACTTAGTTTTTGGCGAGTGACGAAAATGAGTGCGGGCTAGTATTATCCTGGTGGAATCTCACCAAACTGACAGCATAATCTTATTTTGGTGAAACTCAGCCGATGAAATGTTTCGTGGCGCTTCACCATACTTACACTATGATCGTTTTCAATTGACGTTATTGTAAAAAAAAATTTTTCATATCCAGTTAGGATTTGCTTCAAAATTCATTGCGTTTAAGATGCATATCAAAATCAGCTTGCGAAGTAAATTTCGTTCACTTCACGTGGTACCCAAATATCAAGTTTTTTTTTACCATTCCAGTACGTCGTATATTATTATGAACGTTTGATTTTGGTACACTTAATTTTTCTTCAATCTCACGCTAAGTTACATGGCAATCTAATTCGCTTAAAACCTTGATATCATCATCATCAATTTCGCTGGGCCTACCGGATTGTGGCTTATCTTTGAGTGAAAAATCTTCCGAAACCAACTTCGACACTGTGTTCCTTTAAATACCTCATTACCATACAAATTATGCAGCTTTCCCGCATTTCTTCCTTAAAGGAAGTAACAAAGTAAAATATATAAAATAATAAAATTGATGCCAAACAGACAAATATCAAGAAAACCACGCGTACTTTTCATCTGAACTATTAACAACAGCTTATAACTAATATAACAATTTTTTTATATTATATAATTTTTTTTCTATTGAATTTTGTAATAGTTTATTTTATTTGATTTTATTCTATTTCTTTTTATTTTATACTATTCTATTATATTATTTATTTCATTTCATTATTTATCTATTTCATTTTTTTTGTATATTTTTACTTTATTTTATTGTATTTTATTTTATTTTATTTTATTTTATTTTATTTTATTTTATTTTATTTTATTTTATTTCATTTTATTTTATTTTATTTTATTTTATTTCATTTTATTTTATTTTATTTTATTTTATTTTATTTTATATTATTTTATTTTATTTTATTTTAGTTTAGGGACAATTATTTAATAGAATATCTTACATAAACAAAGCCCATAAGGAATACGTTATTCATTCATCTAAATAAATATTTGAAATTAGCAACCAACCTTCACTACTCAACTGTAGCATTGCAATGTGTGTGAACACACACTTCGCCACATACGTGTACGTTCGGTCATGGATGTAAGCTGGCGAATAGTTAAAAACATTAAAAACAATGAAATAATTTTTAAATTGACATTTTGTTGAGGTTTGCATGCGCAGTGTCGTGTTCATTTAAAAGTTTTTGTTGCAATTAATTTACATATACTTATTAATACATGACACTAGACAGCAGATGTTGTTATAAAGTTTCGCAATGCAGTTTGCAGTTGCCCGGCGGCATTTTCATAAAATTGAAAAGTTGAAACATTATGTGAAATCTGCAACTCAAATACAATTATAACTTTCATCTTTTGCTATATAAAACTGCAATGGAAATAAAATAAATTTGATGTCGCGGTCAAAATTAACGGTTATAATGTACCAAACAATAAATATAATAAAACATAGTGTTTCGAAAGCCAGAAAATCAGTCCGTGCTTCATTGCTAAGAATCTCTTTCGATTTGGGGAAATTTCAAGCGTTACAAATATACTAAGAAGTATTTTTAATTATCTTCACTTTAAATCGGGACTCAAAGCAATAGATTGTTTAGCGAAAATTTTAGTGAGTACCTAATGTAGTGTAGTGACTGCCTATCCTTTTCACTATTTAAAGTCCTACTTATTTAGCAGCTGCAGCTGCAGCTAGTTTCCATTATGGTCGACTCTAACAGCCTTTAATTATTTTACACGCTGCCTGAAAGCATAACAAAGGGCTATTCAACAAGTTTACACAATCGAATATCATCTTTCATAATCATTATCACTTTTTGCAGCAACAGTTGTAAAGAGCACGCCACGGCATTGAGCATGAAATACTAGAGAACAATGAAAATTTTACGAATATGGTATGCGAATAATGTGTGAAAATATACGCACACTCCAGGATATCATCATTAAAAACACGCCCAAACGGAGTGCACTTATACTCGGATATATGCAGATGGTAACTGTAAGCAGCCATCTAGGAAATTCTTGTGTTCTTGCTGCAGGACTGAAAGCCATAATTTTATTAAATGAAGTTTATTATTCTTTCCAACGATAGTGGATTAATCCTGTCACTTTTCATAAGCAAATCTCCTTAGTTCGAGTAGAAATTGAACCTACAGTTCCAGATGTGTGGTTTTCAATAAGGTTGCTTAGAAGTCGGTTTTTTGACGGCTGTTTCTTGATTCATACTGTGTTTGCCTTGCCACTTATTAACGAATAGATTTCCAGAACAACGTTGGAGTTGGTAGTTCCGGCAACCGTAGGTCATGCTGTGCCCATCCACTTTATGGAAGCTATTGTGGATGTATCTATATTTGCGTAAAAATTGAACTCTAACGACATCAAGTGCGTCACACGTTGATGGTGAATGGGTCCAAAACGAGATGGCCACCGATGGCGATTTCGAAAAAAAAAATTGTGTTCAGCGATGAAGCTCACTTTTGGTTGGATGGGTATGTTATTAAACAATTGTCGCATTTGGAATGACGATAATCCACAAGCCATTGTTGAAACGCAGTCGCTTCCTCAAAAAGTTACTGCTTAATAGGCGCTATGGGCAGAGGGAATCACTTGTTCATACTTAATCAAGAATTAAGCCGCCCAAGATGTTACGGTCAATTGTGTACGTTTTATTTCTTCTTGAAAACGACATGTCTTTAAAAAAAAAACAACCTTGAACTTGAGTTTGAACCGCTCCTTACACTTCCATGTTGGATATGTGGCTTGACTCATGGAAGACACTCAGCTCTGCCCATTTCGACAGTATTTTGTTATACAATACTAATAAGTTGTATGCGTAACCCCATGGGTTCACACCGACTCCAACTTGAAACTTGTTTATGTATCCAAACATTACTTGTAAATGATAGCCAATACCTTTGCTACTGTAAGTGCAGTTAGGTAAATTCAAATATCATTAGTAAATAGCTTAGGTCTGGACACCTGTTAAAAGTTAGTTATTAGGAAAGGGAAGACCCATCTTTAGGAGGGAAGGAAATATCTATGTAGTTCTTTTCTTCTTACTTTAGTAAAAATTTTACAGAGCTTAAAGACCCTCCTAAAGGAATCGTCAAAATTCCGTCGAAATACTTGATTTCCCTTCCAGACGAAGTAAAAGTTCCGCGGCGCCAAACTTATTTCATAGTTGATTTGAAGTAACTTTTGCTTCCGACTATCCTGACAGCTTATTTATCAGAGTGACCGATTGTTAATTTTTTTTTTTTTGGCACGCGAGTAAACGTATCCCTTAAACATGCAAAAACTTTCAGCTGCATTCAGTGATGACTTGGTCTGTGGCAATCTCTAAAGTGGGACTTGCTTTAATAAGTTCAGTGAATTTCGTTTGTCAAAAGAAACGGAGCAAAAGATTTTTATCAAAGTTTGCGTTAAAAAGTGTGACAAGGAGCGTTTTCATGAAGGCCATGTAGTTGCTTAAAAAGACGTACACCCTGGATTCCTCAACATATCTACAACCTATATAAAAGGCGCACGAACGCTGGATCACAATTGGAAAAGACGCTGATGATATTGGCATGTCGACTGGAATCTGTCATGGCATTTTTCCCAATGTGTTGAATATGAAACTCGCGACAGCAAAATGGTCCACTTAAAAAAAAAACACAAGCTCACACTTCATTGCTTGTGCGTAAATTTTGGGCCAAAAACAATACTTTAAGGATGCTTGAGCCTCCATATTCGCCAGGCGTAGTCCAGTGTGACAGCTGATTGCTGCTCATTGTTGTGCCATGTCTCTGTCTATATTTGCATACAAATTAAATTTAAAAAGAAATTCCATAATGATAAGTAAATAGGAGCGAAAATATGTATAGGAAAAGTACAGGATTCTCTACACTTCAGCTTCAGTTCAGAGTAGTAAAGTGGTGGATTGAACAAAAGAAGGAGGCAAGAAAGTTATGTAGCCAAAGGGCTGCGTATCAGTGCTGATAGCATTGTAGGCACACTTAATCACACATATAATTTTCTCTGCCATGTCCATGTATGTTTGTAT